TCCTTTTCTAAATAAACGAATACAAATCATATGCTAAAAAATGCATTGTGGATAAAAATCACTTTTCTTGTCATTGGAATCCTGAGGATTGTAGAGTGGTGATACACTGCTCTGGATGAGGAAGCTATTGTATTGCCTGAGGGGAGACACTGACATACTACACGGTACATGACTGCATTTGACAGCCTCACACTTCTGACTTACCATCTGCCTTCACCAATTCTGCTCCTATTTTGGTGCTTGTACCCAGACACACACATACACATTGGACCTTAGCAATCTTCCCTCTAGCGAACTATTTTGCTGTAACTACTTCCCTTGACGTCAGTACAGTGGACTAGAATGCCCTCTTTTCATCTTATGTGGGGCAGAATTTAACTAGATGAACAGGCGGAGCTATTTGCCTGTCAACCCAAACTTTTAATAGAAAAATCCTTGCCGTTTCTTTTTCAGAATTAAAAAAAAGTCCTGTGCATGATGTAATCTCCTTCCCTCTCTCTCTCTTCCATATTCTCTCGATTCTCCCACCAACCTCTCTTTCCTGCTCCCCGTTACCTTGTGTGTGAATCTCCCTCCTGTTCTCTGGCTAGGGAGAACAAAGCTGAGGGAGAATCAATATGTTTTCAATTTGCAGCAGCGACTTGCTCCCTCGCATTCTAATTACAGCTTCTGCTCTTTCTAAGTCTCTCGGCAAGCGAACGAGGGAGAGAGACGCCACACTGCCACCACCGTTCACGGCATCACTGAAACATCCAGCTGCTGGAGTCGGTTTCAACTGTCATAAAGTCATGCTGAATATGAGGTCATAACTACATTATGTAATTATTACCAAAGCCAATCAGAATGGAAAAAATGCAAGACTTTTGTAGAGCATAACAAACTACCATATATATGTCTGTCTGTCATCTATCGGTCTTTCTGTCATCCATCTATCTATCTATCTATCTATCTATCTATCTTCTGTCTGTCATCTTTCTGTCATCCATCTATCTATCTATCTATCTATCTATCTATCTATCTGTCTGTCTGTCTGTCTGTCTGTCTGTCTGTCTGTCTGTCTGTCTGTCTATCTATCTAGCTATCTGTCTGTCTATGTCTGTCTGTCTATCATCTATCTATCTATCTGTCTATCTGTCTGTCTATGTCTGTCTGTCTATCATCTATCTATCTATCTATCTGTCTGTCTATC